TTCTGAAATAAAATGTGCAAAATGAAATAACAAAAAAAATATACAAATATATTGCTCGTATTAGTTCGTATCTAATAATAAAGTGTATTATAGGTTCTTAAACGGTTGCATACGTTATTTTCTTCGATCATTGAAGTCTAGTTTCTGGGTGTAAGTAGGTAGACAACGATTTCGAGATTATTCTCCCAGTTTTAAATCAACAATAGCTAGTGAATAATCAAGGATACATACTTGGTATTTTTTCACATATACTATGCCTATCTGTTTGTGTTTAACACTGTTTTATAGTATAACTATTACAATATAATTATAAAAATTCAAAAAATAACATGTATACGAAAAATTCTATAATGTAAATGATTTTTATTTTTGTGTGTGCGTAATCGCATTATTTTTCCAATGCGATTAATCTGAAACTTTCTCTTTCTCCTACGACGCAGGTAGGTACGAATGGTGAAACATCGTTAGATCCGGGTCTGTAAAGGAATATTATAAATACACCAAAAGAAGTTTTCATCATTCCGCGTCGAGTTGTAGCTTATTCATTTATACCGCGCCAAAGACAAATATCGTATTCTTGTGCATTACACCTATATTAAAGTATTTAAACTGCATGATTTGAATAACGTATGGGTATAATAGGTGTCTACATGTACAAATATTAACTAACAAAGTACAGTAAAATATATTATAACTACTGGCATTATTAACTGTGCAATACGGGGCGATTTTGTGTGTACCTTTATCCCACCTTTGTGATGTTTAAATAATAATGATTTTATTAGAATTATGTTTCTCGGAAACTGTGTAATAATACTAATGTGTAACTGTTGTACGTAAAGGTTAAATTTTATTTAATACTTTGATTTTTTTTTTTTTTTTTTTTGAATAGGAGGTCTTAAAGGTCTGTGAGGTATATTATTATGTAACAATAAAAACGAGTGGATCTATTGTATTTAACATAATTTATTATAATAACGGTTTAATATTTACCTAACATTTACTAACATTACCTATACGTAAATAATATAATTAGTATGATATATTCAAACAAACTGATTTATTTTAAATTATCAATTTAACTTTCGTTTGAAATGTATTGACAATTTACTAAATTTATATTTATGTATAATTTTTTTTATTTGATTTCTTTATTTGGTCAAGTAAGATTTTACCCGTGGTATAATGTATCACCTAAATATTTTTATGTCTGCACGGTATACTTGTATGATGAACTGAAGTTATTTCGAGAAAGTGAATATTTAAATAACGCGTAGTTTAATACTTTTTTTTTTTTTTTTTAATAGAAAACGCATTTAGTTATTTAAAATACACATCAACGTGATTTAAAAATATTCTCTTTCTTTCATATTTGTTGATAACTGTTATGCCTATTTATTATATGTTTACACAAATAAATAACTGATCGGTCAAAGTACGGAAATATAAGTACATTAAATCTCTATAGGTGTATGGTATAAAGAATATAATATCTTTCATGCAACATTGTAATGAGAAATCTGGTACATTTCTATAAAACTCTACTGAAATAGTATTTTATCAGTATAAAATGCGATCAACTATCGCATTCTTTAAATGCTTTTTGTGTTTAAAATAATTTTGTCTAGCTGATGTGTTGAAGAGACGATTTTTTTTTTTAAATTTTCTTTGGAGTTTTCTTAATAATTGAGAAAACCCGCGAATAAACGCAAACATAACGGGACATTTTACGGTAATAACGGTCTCATTATTTTCGATTTTTTTTTTTTTTTTTTTGAAATTCGTTTGAAAATGTTTGGTTTAAAATTTGTAATGGAACACTTATACTATTAGCTTTATATTATAGACGTGGTTAATTTTTCAAAACATGGTGATTTTCGAAGTTAGATTTCAGGGATTTGACATTTTTGAAATTTGATTAGTTTTTATTTGGTTTTGTGTAGATAAAATTGAGTTAGCTTAGTATACCTAAATGTTTTAAATTTTAACACGAGATTTATCATAATTTGTATTTGATTTAAAAAAAAAAACCTCTTACCTATAATGNAGTCGAGACATTTTAAATTACGTTTAACCGAATTTCGCTCAGAAACGTATCTCGTCAACCGTTCTCATTCATCGTTGCGTTGATATATAAATTAAACGACTTTATGTACCCTATATACCGATTCCCGACTTCTCGCCTACAGGAGTGACACACCCAAAATCAGTATTAACTCTTAAAAACAAAAACATAATAATGATAATAATTAATGATAATATAATAATAGTTATAACGTGTATACAAACAACCGTTATAACTATATATTAATGTATTCTGTGCGGTGGTGTTTGAATAAATTATAACCGTTTATAACGTTATAGTTTTTAGTACGCAGAGTTATTTTAGATTGTTTTCTACGGAATATTTTCGAGCCGTGCCATAGCTACGCAGATGGGTGCAGTGACGAGTATTCGTCGGAGAATTTATACGAAAAGAATCGTTTTAGACGGACGAGACGCGCGGTGTGGCCACGCGTTAAAGTCTCCGTAACGATATAAACGGACGGAATTTCATTTAAATAATAACGCAATAACATCGTAAACTGTCGTTATATATACACCGCGGGTGTCCGTATCGTCTCCGAATGAGCGACATTCGATCGCCACCTATGGGTAATATATAATATTAATATTATCGTACTACGTAAATGTCTTTTGGTTTTTTTTTTTTTTCCGACTCGCGTGGCGCGTAGGTATACGCGATATTATAATATGATGCGCGGGCTCGCCCGTACCCGTACAGTAAAATATGTAATTATTATTACAACGAACCGCAGTCAGTCGCACGGAGTTTGACCCGAATTCGTGTCCTTGATGTCGACGTGTGTGCGTATAAATATATAGCTAGGCGAGCGCGTATAACATAATAATAATAATAATAATAATATGATATATATATATACGAACGGATAGGAAACGACCGTATAGGAATGCTACGGCCAAGGTTGTGTTGACCCACAATGGGAAAAAAACTAGTTGTACACGACTAGTCTTCGGAGAGAAAAAAAAAAAAATCCGATCCGCGGCCTCCAGACTACTTTCCATCGCGTGGTCGCCGTCGTTCGGGCACCACTTTCTTCTCTCTTCTATAATAATAATAAAAAAATATTATAACTATTCCGTTGGCGCGCCCGGCGTGGTTTAAACCGCGGTGATCGTTTCTACATACCCACCCATGTTTATATATATATATATTATAGTAAAAAGTTTATACCGACGCCGACCGTCACTCGCATCGGTACCGAGGACTGGGCATCGCGTCGCACACGCGCTCTATCACCATACTCCCCGAAAAACCCGATTTCGTTCTACGAGCTCGCGGTACCTAAATATACGTATACATTATAATATTATACAGGTACAGGACGATAAATTAACAGTCGTGAATCATCAACGTTTTTCAACACGAAAATATGTTGTACAAATTTAATCGTGGTTTTTTTTTTCCAGTTTTTACATAATAAAACCGTTCAATACACGAGAACGTATTAACAATGATTTTAAAATGTTACACCCTTGTGAACACATATACAACCATGCGATCCACGTTTTTAAACTCCCATTTTCGAAACGAGATTATATTTGTCCAAAAATGCATATTCAATACATATACAGGTGGAAATGTTTCACTCAGATGTTTCCTAACACGAAATATTTCGGTTGTATAGTCTTGGAAAAGGATTTTTTTTTTATCACGAGGAAGATCGAATGTACTCAAATGCACACACTGAACAAATTATCAGCACGTTAACTATTGTGTTATGCAAACAAAACTTTACATTTTAGTAAATTGAAAATACCCATATTTGACATCATATCCGAACAAAAGATACTTTTTTGTAAGGTACTCGGACAAATAAAATTTTATCATAAAAATTACCTGAAATAGCCATCTAAAATTTATTTGAAAAAATTTAATTTGTCTCAGATTTTTCAAAAAATATAAAACTTATGCATTATCTGTATAATATAATACAACCGTAGTGGAGTGACCGTTATACAGCATTTGTTCATTATGATAATATAGAATTTACGGCTGGCGTTTTTAAACTAAAATATTACTGACCGAATATTATTTCGCAATAAACTCGAGTTTAAATTTAAATTAAATCTTCTTATACATAATATAATCACGGCCCATAACAGTTCTTTAAGTATTTAAAATTAAAGCGATTTATTATCATCTATTTTGAATAAGTATTAATTGACTTGTTTTAAACGAGTAGATATTGGGTTAAGTATATTGTAAACTCGTGACATGCTCGTATCTTGAGAATGTTCTTTATATTACTTTCTATACCGATGCTCTATTTTGTTAAAACTAAGTATTAAAATTAAAATTTACAATAATTTGACTTTCCACGATAATACTTATTGGTGAGTACGGGCTAAGTCGATATCATTTTATATCAGCTGATATTGAAGATATCGGACATCAGGATTTTCAAAATCGATATTTGATCCTATATTTCCGGAAAGAAAATGTCCATTATTACGTCTTTCGAATATGAAAAAAAGCGTTAAAAAAAATTAGGTTATTAACCCATAAATATTTCAATATTTTAAACAACTAATAATAATGTACACAATTGTCATTTAATACTTTGTGTTAAGTGAATGATCAAATAACAATTATAGTCACTTTAACATACATAGGTAGGTACCTACCTAAAATTTTCCTTGCACATTTGTTTTCTATTATAATAATAATTGTGTGTATTTTCGCTGTTCATAAGAACAATACTGCAGACGACAGTAGTACCGCAACTAAAAAAAAAAAAAATAGTAATAAAAAAAAAACAACAACAAAATACAAAACGTTAATTTACATTACAATCGTGTAATATATTATTAGTAGGTAATCGATTCTAAACACTTTTACGCATCGACTAAAACAAGAAGAGTTAAAAAAAAAATTATATGAAACAAAACATTATAGTTAAGGATGACTGTTTTGACGCGAAGAAGTTGCACACTATTGTTCCGAAAATACTCATATTCAATTGTTTACGGAAAGAAAAAAAAACACGAACGGTTCACATACTAGCTGACTTGGCATTTGGTAAGTTTTATTAATAAAAGACGAGTATACATAGCGTTCAGTCTTCTCCGAGGTGTTATTCGCGGTTGTGATGCATTTCTGAATCATGGCTCGTAAATACAAAATTCGCGTTACTACCGTAGTAGTTATTGCGATATTATGCCCGACGGCACTTGGCCGTATTGCCGAGAAAAAAGAATCCGACACAAAATGGGAAACGGCCATAAAACAAGGTATAACGGTAAAATATTTATTACGTATCTTAAATAATTATAAACTAAGAGGATAATCAAGGGGAATAAAAAACTATTACTTAAATTGTCGAAAAATCGTGTTTATTTTAAGGGGCTATTCTGGTCAACTATCATACGCATATATACGTTTAGTTGTATCATAATCACGGAAAATCATTTAGAATTTATTGATTATTTTATTATAAATGACGCTTTACTAAATCTTCAAACATCAAATTTTACTGAAGAGTGACAGAACAATTAAATTTTTTATATTAAATTGCGGTATACTGTATAATACGTCATTTGCTGACTGCTCATCAAATGATAGAATTGCGTTTCGGAACAACGTATTGTTATACATTTATTTTGGATATTGACGTTTTTTATATTGTTTTGAAATCTGTCTTGTGCTCGATATAATATTCGAATAGGGCTAAAATAATAGGGTTCAGTGCGGTTTGATTTAAACAATTAGGGTTCGTGACATCACTAATAATAAATGGGTAAATAACTCGTTTACACTTGGCTATAATTATGATAACGTACTCACTACGCAGGGTATTTCAAATTGTATGTTGCAATCAATTTTAACATAAAAATCCTTATTTTTTTCAACCTTATGTTTGGTGGTGAAATCACTACCAAGTTTTAATTTTAAATCTATTAAACAATTCGATAGATAGATGAAATTTTAGTTTCATTCGTCAAATTTACATTTTAATGTTGATATTTTTAATTTCCGGTAACAGTAATATACCTAATAGAAGAACTTGCATATTTTCTTTAGTTTAACACAAAATTTCCAATATTGTAACACAACTATAAAAAAATAAAATAAAATGAGCAACTAATCTCCGTCACTAAAGTTTAATTTTCCCTCAGTCGACTTGTTGCCATTACAATATTTCATTCTTTTTTTTTTTTTTTAATATAATTTATCCAAAATAGTTCTAGTTTTCAGAGTTACTAGTTGGTGTTAATAATATTATATTATATACTTAATTAAATTCGATTTTTATTTTACTAACCATTCTCCCCTTCCCTACTTTACGTATACTACCCCGACTCTCTTTCAGGTATAAAAATTATCCTGCGACCTTTCAATAAGAATAGTCTCGTATAAAATATTTCATCTGAATAAGTAAAGTAGTTCTCGTGATTATTGTTAAGATACAAATAGCCGTTGGAGAAAGAAAGTGCAAAGTTGAAATCCCTAAAAAGCAGATCCCTCTGCACCGTGCATATACAAAATGTCACCTCCTGGACTTTATTTGGTAGTCTGTATGGGTATATTAAGCTTAAAAACCATCTTGTTTTCATAATAATATTATTAAATGTCAACCAAACTATTATCATTCAATCCACCCATAAAACAACTCTAGTTCCTCAGTTTAAGCACATTTGTTCCAGAAGGCGCCACTAAAAGTGTTCAAAAGTCCTGATAAAATAATACATAAATATGAACAACTGTGTCATAGTCTTAATTTTCGGGAAAAATTCGCTAAAAATCATCATTCATGTAAATTAAATATTGTGTTCGAAACGTGTTACTTATATAATTATAATTGTTCACCGTTACTTTTTTACTTTTCCAGAAACAATAATTAGAATATTGCATTGAGTATTCCAAAAATAATTATCACTTAAATTGTTATAGTGCTACTGTCACGAATGTCACACGTCAATCGTTATTATTATTGTTATTTTTAAACACATTTTCAAAAACTGTGGTATACGTGGTTTATTCGAACACGTCCAAAAAATCATTGTCTCAAGTAGACCAAAATACGCAAATCGGTGGTATTAAGTAGTAAAAAAATAAATAAAAACAATACTGAATACGTGTTGGATAAAATTCTTTTAATTTTGTAACAAAAATAAAGACCAACGCTAATAACTCCGAGTTACCGAACGGTTAGATGAAATACAATTCTCGTCGGACAGTCAAGTTGCCTATATTGTGTTGCTCGTTTCATTCGAAGTACCGCTCTGAATAAACAGATTTTATATAAACCTAGTGCTGTCTAACGTCCAACACGCGAACTACTCGCATACAATATAATATTATAAATAATTATTGTACGACCGGTGTATGGTTGATTTCATACACTTTATTTCAGTTCTTTTCCGATGTACGATAACCGATTATTGTAAAAATAAATTTTATGATTTTAAATTCAGAATGTCCAGTTAGTTCGATTTCGATTTATTCTTACTAAAAGTCTATGCGTTCAAAGGAAATAGTATACATATTTTGTAGAAAAAGTACGATTATAATACAATTGGTGTTTTTCTTTTTTTAAAGTTTTAGTGTGGACTATTCAAAACGTGTATTGATGAATTAATAAAATATCCAATTTAATATAAAACGTTATTTTCAGACGAATTTGAAGGTATAACACTTCCAGAGAACACCGATGTGCCGACTGTCACTCAAATGACACCGGCGATTGTGAAAATCGGACAGCGCTACGGTGTTCCGTATTGGCAGTCTTTGGGAAAGAAAAAAAATAAACCTGGTAATAACGCTGTAATGATAACAGTGCCGATTTTACGATAAACTCCTATAACGGTTAGCAACCGATGACGTAATATATGAAATTGGTTAATGTGTATGGGTCATTTGGTGTAATATTTCATACTGTAAGCATATTACTAAACTTGGTTTTTGTCAATTCAAAGATTCGGCATATCTTAAACGAGTAATCCGGATAAAACCTTCGGTGCCGTACATCGAAATAAATTTCCCGATTTATTGAAGTAAACGAATCTTATAATTTGATTGTTAATTATTTAAATAATCCATTTAAAAATGTCGTATTATCCCACAGAAAAGCGCCAACTCCCCTCCTCCTCCTTATACATAAACAGTATGCTAAAGAGGATAGTTTTAACCCGATTACGTTCCCTTGCTATTGGATCGGCCATTGGTATGAAAGAAAACACAATCATATTATGTTAATTAATGTCGACGTACCGCTATCGCTTAAGTAAATGGACAAGAAATTGAAATAATTCTAAAAAACTATAATAATATTTTCGTTAAAATCTAAATTGAACCAACCCAGACCGTTTCCGTGATTCGAATCGATCCTACTGAAAATAGTTAAATTTGTTGACATTTTTCACGTACACAGATACAAAATATACAATTTACATAATCCGAGACGTTTAATTGAGTTCATGTATTTTAGATTCTGAGCGAAGAAGCTTAGGGTTTTACTAAGATGTTTATATTTTTTTCTGTGCGCAAATTTTCTACCAAAAGACTTGCTCGGATTTCAACGTGTAGTACCTTTTAAGAAAGAAAATTGGCGTGGAAAGGTACTTTAGCGAGTTTATTTTTGATTTTCCAAACTGTTTTCATAATCAATGAGAAAAACACGGAAATACACAGGAAAAATGGGAAAATAAGTACAATATTAAACAAATATTATGAAAGAAAATATTTAACGCGTATGTAATTATTTTAACATAATATGACTAATATATTGTTGACAAAGCAGACCAAAACCTTTGTAGACAAAGGTCTTTTTTTGAAATTCTCAAGAGTTTTCTCATCAAATGCAAAAAACCGAAAAAGAAAAGCCGAGGAAATTTACGAAATATAATTTACAATTTTTTTTTTCTGTGCGCAACTTTTCTACCAGCAATTTCGCTCCAACTTTTATTGATAGCGATGTTTCAAAAAGGAGGTTTCACTGGGAAGGTACTTTTAGGGGGTCATTTTTCGATTTTCTCAGGAGTTTTCTCATCAAATGTGAAAAATCAGGAAAAACTTAGGAAATTTGGGAAAATCGGTACAAAATTAAACGAATTTTACTATAGAAAATATATCATGCCTATTTAATTTTTATTTTTAACATAAAATGCATGTATATTATTGACAAAGCATCACTGTCAACTGGACTCTGTTCAGATTTTTCGTAAACAATGGTTTATCGTTTCTTACATATATACATTAAATTCCCGTTTACATCCTACCTTCTCAACTTCCCACCTACATCAGTGGCTGCACCGGTTTCCACTATCTTACCTTTTTCAACACGAATCACTACTCACGCGCACTATAATGAGAAAGACCACACAATAATGCAGAACATATTAATATTATTATTTTATTTATTGGCAATCGCAAGACGGCCGTCGTTTTAATGTGTATATCAGACATAAACGATGACTATCAAAATTATTATACTATACTTAATGTACACACTTAATAGGTTTTCTTTTTCTCCCATCGAAATCTTAATACCGGTCGACTATTTTGTATCAATAAATGAATAATATGCCAGTGTACTCAAACACACCACCCGAAACTAATACAATAGGCAAACAATTCTACACGAAATACTGGTACGTTTAGATGTGTGCTCGTGTAAAACTAACAATGATATCAACAATGTACAACAAAGTGTAGTTTAAATTCGATCAATTTCATTCACTTGTTCCGGTTTGCTTCGTCCGGGGCCTTTGGCCCAAGGATACCAAGGATCTAAATTAAATTATTTATTTTAATTCGTTTACATACGATAGAACATTTTTAAAATTACTAAGGTAATTAATTCTCGGTACCTATTCGTTGATTTTAATTGTCGAATTTATATTTAGTATTCGTATTAAAATGAATAGTGATAATAATGATTATGTTTCGAATAATATTATGAATCTCTGTGTCAACCAAATCAACAATTATCGTTCGTAACTATGCACTTGTAACTATAAAACGGAGGTCTGTTGTTAGTTTCTAAGGGAGAGGGGGAAGATAATTTAAAAAAAAAAATAATAAGTTCAACCTATACTTTTATTCGGCGTTCCGTATTATTTAACACGTCCAGAATAAGACACAAATTTATAAATGAACAAATCAATTTATTTTCCAAATAAAACCACAATTATTATTACAATATTATTTAATTATTTATTTAAACGTTTCGGCGTTCCGTCTATTTCCACTGCGCGGGCCGGATCCGGCCCGCGCGCTACCTATTGTCCGCGTCCGCTACACACGGACGGACGGACGGACACAGCGATAATAACAAGGTGTTCTATACTCGTATTTAGAAACCGAGAACCTATAGCGTTTCGGGTTTTTTCTGTTTTTACCCACTTGTTATGCCCGCCAACCCGTTCGATAAATGTTTGAAATCGAACCGTTTCCGTAAAACGCGTCGAAAAACGATAAATCATCGAGCCGTAATAACATATATTTCTAATACGATTTTTGTCTGTAAATCGTTTTTGTCGCTCGATTCGTTGTCTCTGCGTTTTTCGAATCACTGCCGATAATTTTACTCGTAATCAGTGTTCGGATTTTATAGCGTTGGAAATGTGCTGAGACGTACGCTCGACACGAGCCGGATTTCCGCGAGAAATCAAAAGCGTCGGCATAATCATTTTTGAATTGAAAATGATTTCAACAAATATTGTAAACTACCGTGTTCGATATAACCCAACGCAAACACCGCTATATTCATTTACATTTCAAACAGAAACGGTGATTTCCCGTCGGCCTTTTCGGAATCGATCCGCGATTTTTTCCCTCCGAAAGCTGTTCGGCGGCCGCGCGTAGCAACGGCAAACGAGATGACAGCGGCGATATTATTGTTTTCCAGATAAAAACGACGGTGTGACGGATCACATGATGATCATGTCGGGCGGCACGTTGATGTCGCTCGGCGTGTTCGCGATGATCGTGATGGCCGGCAAGGCCTTGCTGCTGGCCCTCGGCGCCGTCCTGTTGACGTGCTTGAGCTCGGGCTGGACGGGCGGCGGCGGCGGCGGCGGCGGCGGCTACAGCAAGTCGTCGGAGAGCGCCAGCACCGTCTACGAGGTGATCGCCAAACCGCAAATATCGCACGGTCACAGCTATTCGTCGGAAGTGCACCACGAGCCGTACTCGCCGACGTCCTCGCTCCAAGGCTATTACAGTGCCGGCTATTACGGGAACCGACGCCGCCGCCGCCGCCGCCGCCGTCGGTGAGACGACCGCGGCCATCGTTGCGCAGCCCACGGTCCCGCCGCAGCCCATCGAATGTCACTGTCGCCGGTCTCCGGTAACCGCGGGGGTCCCGTATCCATTACTTCCAAACCGTAACGTCCAGGCTCCCCGGATCCTGTCTGCTCCGTCCGTCCGCGCCGAGATTTTCTTCCTCTGCCTTCGGACGCTCTACCCCCCCCACCCCCTAGTCGGTTGCCGGATGCCCCGACTTCCATTGTTCTCTTTCCATTCCCATCGCACGACCGGACCGCTGAATTTTCCCTGTCCCACCGCGTTACTCGTCGTAAACACCACAACTAGAGTCCGGATTTATTATCATTTTATAAACAAATAAAAAAAACGCTTCAAAACGTCAACAAATCCTTGAATTAAGCACTTACAAAACCCAAAAATAATAGAGAGATTTAAAACCCCCCCTCCAATAATGGCTCTAACTTTTCAATTTAAATTTCCTAATGATACAAAAATGATTTACACAAAATTAATCCTTTTAAATAAAATCGTACGTATTACCTATAAATAAGAATTGATTTTTATGAAATTTTTTTTGTAGTGCTAGACAATTTTATTTATGAGTTAAATCCGTTAAAAGTCTCTACTTTTATAGAGACATCTANCAATAATGGCTCTAAATTTTCAATTTAAATTTCCTAATGATACAAAAATGATTTACACAAAATTAATCCTTTTAAATAAAATCGTACGTGTTACCTATAAATAAGAATTGATTTTTATGAAATTTTTTTTATAGTGCTAGACAATTTTATTTATGAATTAAATCCGTTATAGAGACTTTTATAGAGACATCTATTATTTATTTATTTTTTTTTTTTTTAATATTTTTAAGCGCTTTTTCAATGCTTTTTTGTCGTTTTCGAGTGCTTTTTTGTAGATTTCAAGAGTATATAAATCCGGCCTTTATAATTATAACTTTTCATAGATAGTTTGGCGATCTCTTTTGTTTCCTCGTTTTCTCTTCTACGCCAGATATTAAGTGTGTTATCGATTGCTGGTCCGCGTGTTCTCGCTGCTACAAATTGTTCTGTACTTTGTTATCAAAGCTTCTCAGTTTCTATTCAACCGGCACTGTTACAGACCATACTTCACGAACTTCAAGAACATTGTATAATATTTATATGGTTAGTTTACAATATTATTTTATATTATTTATTATGTCAATAATAACACGGTATTATTGTTATCATACTATCGCTATATTGTTATTATTATTGTTATTATAATTTGCAATACGTTTTTTTATAATTATTATTATTATTATTTTTTACTATTTTCTACAATGCGTTTTTAACGATTTTCCACTTTTATATTTTATGTTTATGTGTTTGTGTGTGTGTGTGTGTGTGTGTGTGCACCGTGCAGTCATCTATTGCAGCAAATATGCTCTGTTCACTTCCATTTTTATCCGTCCAACGTACCTATAAATTATTATTATTATAATAAAATCGAACGACGTCTAGGTAACGCATTGCTTCGCGAAAACAATGTGATTTCTCGTCGAATATCGTCACGTTTAATCGTACTCACTGAATCGTCGGCGAACGTTTTCTGATCCGACGTGTTCGTTTAGACATCTGTCAAATACGAGTGTTTTCGACTGGGTGCCTATGTGTATACGATGTTTCACATAGGACGTATCACGGTAGAAATAATGTGGTATCGAGTTGGCAAAGAAAACGAAAATTATGAAAACAATAATAATTGCATATCAGTAATAATGGATACATGTCAATTATTGATCGAAAAACAATTGCTCGCAAACGACAATTGATCGAAGAACAATATTGTTCGCAAACGACAAATTCGTTTGACGTATTCAACTGAAAGCAATTTTATATACGTATGGTATATTGAATTTAATTATTATACAGAAAATAAAAAAAGATATTAGAACAGTTTTTATACAGTTTCGAAAATACCTGGTTAGGCAGAGTAGACAGACGAAAAAGACGAAAACAACCGAAAATTTAAATTTAAACTTTGAACTGTTTTTGAAGGATAAAACAAGATTTAGCAACCATAAATAATTCGGTTGGAGGTTGACATGACTGTTTTATGTCGATCTTAAGTGGTAAACATCCATCAGTATGGCGTTTTATTGAAGTTTTGAAGAAAGAAGAAAGCATAAATCAACTCAAAATTGAGCAGTGTTTATCTGGCACTGAACCTCCGACAAAAAAAAATACGAATTAAAAAGATTTGAGAATTAAAAAAATGTGCCCTGATAAATAATGATCTGAACATTCTCAATTATCTACGTGTATAATAATAATAATAGCCTATAATTTGTAACTGTAAATTTGATTTTTAATTTTACGTATTTTATAAGTGTTTTAGCAATTATTTTAGTTGACTTAATTTTGTAAATACAATTTAAATAATAATACCATTTTTTTTTATTTGTACTAGTTATTAATTTAGCAATTTCATTTGATATATTTTTAAATGTATTTTAATGAATAATATAATTTTTAGCTTTGCAAACAATTTTTCTTAGAACAATTTTCATTTGCCAGCAATTGTTTTTCAATCAAAAGTTTTCGAGCAAATGTCATGCGATCAATTGTTTTTGATTACTTGAAGGGATAAGAATAATAATATAACGCTAAGTTTAAAGTACTAAAATTATTGTGTTTTAGGCCGTCTAAGAGTTTATGGTTATGACTTATAACTACTAACTACATTCATAATAATAATATAGTAATAATAAGTTTATGGTTACAACCAATGCTATGAATCTAAACTTTAAAGCACTAAAATCTTTAAAAAGTCCAGAAAAAAAAAAAGGATAATTTATCATAAAACTAAGTGCTCTTAAAAGTAGTATACGTGTTTTAGATTTGGTACACATCTAAATATTAAAAAGGTTGTGTGTAACTTAATAATTCATTTATTCAACTGTATGGTATAACAGTGTGGAAACGGTGATTAAAAACACTCAATATCCTTACATACAAGTAGAACCATACAATTTAATTTTTTTTTCTCAATTAGTTGTTATACTTGATAATACACATTTTCAACCACTCAGATTTTTTTACTGTTGATTTGCTATGCGCATGCGTAGTACAACTTTGGTTTCTTTAATGGGCAACCCCTTCTTTGAAACAACTAGAATTTTGTTTTAAGCATTACTGCTGTATTACACGTACAGTCCTCATACATTTTTTGAAAGTATATTATACCACGGCCTTGCACCTTCACTTCATGGGGTGTTTTTATATATTTCTTACGGTTTACAAGGTTTATAGGTATAAGAAGTAGGTATCAATAATACAAAAGAATAAATTAAAATTACCAAAACAAAACATTCAAAATTATAAAAAAAATGTATATATATATAAATAAATTGTTAGAAAATTGTGAACTTTATAGTTATATTCACCGAAATTAATACGACTTGTATGGATGGGCAATGATAATAATATACGAGTATTATGATGATTTTTTTTTTTTTTACTATTTGAGAGTATAATATGCAGTATTAAAAAAAAATTATAACAATATTTTAATACATTTTGATGTGCCCTGTGAGAATTTTTATTGTAAAACACATTTTGGCACGGTTTAAACAAATAATTGTAGAAACACGACAAGTAACATATTGTTACCTATAGGTAACTACAACTAGTGTCTGGTATCAATAATTTGAATATTAGACTGGTGCGTACGAAATGATCTTTTACTATTAGATTTTGTAAATTTCATATACCTAATACTCAATTAGGTATTAAGTATAGTAATAAACGACACTCGGATTTCTCGGGCTATTGTCAAAAGAAAAATAAAAAAGACACAATCAGTGTACGTATAGGCGTAGGTACGTTTTCTAATTGGAAAAAAAAGTGATATCTCGGGGATTATCATTTCGCCGTAATATTGTTATACACGTAGGTAATAGTACGGTACTGGAGTCGTATACTGCATTATATGCATTAACAGTCGATAAAAGTGAAAACAGAAAAACGATCAATTGTATTTCCATTTTCTGATACCTATACCTATAATACCTATGCTATATTTTTTAGTAACATTTTTGTTATTTTTTTTCCATGTTTGTCACTAAGTAAAAACGATTGACCGTAGTTTTCCACGGTTTTATGCTTCGGTATAATTATTGTTCCAATGATTACATAATACAATGAATACGGATCACCAATCGAGATAATATTTTCGTTAAATCGAAAACGTTTACTCGACTGCGGATAGGTATTGAAAAATAAGACGCTGGTCCAACAAAAGTATTTGGCGATTCAGAATCGAAAACGAAAAATTTACCTGTGCGAGCCACGTATAAATATCTATGTATGTAGAACATCCCGTACACGATATTCGATATCGATAACTAGAAATTCTTAATAATATTTCGTTCAGTCCCCTTGTAATATCGGACTCCAATAAGTTATCTATAGATTCGCTCTATTGTGTATGACATTGAAGGTAATCCGAGTTTTTTTGACGGGAAACATTATATTTTTCGAGACGTTTTTAGTTTCCAGTCACTGATGAGAATAATAATAATAATAATATTCTACAGTATCACTGCACATTGTCACTGTAGGTGTATGATGTATTTTTACGGCAGTATTGAAACGTGCCTAAATAATAATGTATTTTATGCATACCACCGCCGTGTATTTTCGTTGAACAGAAAATGATTTTTAAAGATGATTTCGAATGGCCGATTTCTAACTGGGTACAGGTGTATACAAAGAATGCGTGTTCGAAATATTGAAAGATCGTCTCAACAATAACAAAATGAAATATTATTTATACGTGTCGTTATCGTATGTAACGAAACATAATCACTTTTCGCGTGTACCTACATCAAGTAGCTACAAAACAAACCCAACATTAAAAGGTGGTTATAGTTTATGTACTATGGCTGTTATCGTAACTTCTATCTTCGTTTTTAAAATGGCGAAATCCGATATTTATTTGACGACCATATATTATAAAACTCGGATAATTGTTAACAGGACGTTACACCCGCATCTACTGTCTCGGTCTTACAAACGCGCGACGTAGCGAATTTACGTTCAGCCGAAACGCCGGGTTTAAATGGTTTTCGCTTATATTTGTTTTTAAACCTAACGGAAATTCAATCTGTCAGTCGTAGACCGACAAAAAACCGCGTCGATTAAATTATTACAAATTCTAAAAACGCGTTTTCATCAATATGCATTTAAAATTGGTTTTTAACCATAATAATCAAATTTGTTTTAATACTGATATTTATTAAGAAACAATAAATAATAATAGATAATAATTTTATCTAATTGCTTCACTTTGATAACTGCATTGTGCTTGAAATTTTTTTAGTAAATGTTATTATTTCTTTTTCATTGGTATCTTTTTTTTTTTATTAATGTTAGCTAAAGCTAATTTATTAAGTCTATTTTCAGACATGGCGTTCCTCAAATAGGTTTTCATATTATTCAATACTGGAATTGAAATTTTCTTTCTTGAGCGGAAAAGGTAAATGGCAATGTAGAAAATAGTAGAAAATAGTAATCACAGAAGTATTTAATACGTTACAATACGTTATACAAAATTCATTTTTTACCACCATGGACATATATGCATTATTAACGAATTATGATAGTGATGATGATTCCACAAGAAAATATGACGTAAAAAAAAAAAAAAATGATAAGCTTGAGTTATAATAATGCAATGTTTAATGTTGATCATTGAGGGATGAACGTGATTTTAGTATTAGTTACATGTTACATAGATTATAGTATTATACATAAACATAGACTACGAAGGGATATAGCTTCCTTAGCCCCCGCTTGGCCACGCCACCGTAAACAATGCACGAATATTGCAATCCTTTGGAATCCTTCATGTTCGAGAAACTGGCCGCCTTCAGGTCCGTTGCCACCGGCTGTTTTACTATCCGTCCAACCTAAACTCATAAGCCCGGGCGACGTTGACCTCGCGGTCAGTACGACACGGTGCACCGATCGCAGTTATGTACAGAGCCGCATGTTAATGCCATAGAGTATTAATATATTTTGATGTGTTTTTAAATCGACCAACGGCTATCGATACTAGATCGTGTACATATATAGGTAATCCGTTTTCACGTACGTGTTAATTCGCGTTTTTAATCGAGACTTTTACTCGTAACTCGCTTAAAAATTAAAATACCGGAAAAACACCAACGTAGAAGCGCGTAATAATGTTCTAGTTTGGTAGTAGATAAATTCATTAAAATATTAAAACTAACGGCACATAATTCGTCTTACTGGACGCATATTTGGTATGTGGTACCTTTGTAAGACGGATACAGTAAATGCCGATCATATCTTTACCGTTTAAATATCTGTGTTGTTCAACCACGATGTCAGCAGGTATATTATTCACTTGCTCCATGTTATCTTAAAAACCGCGAGAAGTAACAACATAGTAATCGGAGTAAACAACGACGAGCCCGTATTCGAACGTGATTTATAATGATTAAGTGATTTCAGTGCCGTTATAATGGCGATCTGTATTCTGTTTGCGAAAAAGCGTATACCTACCTAGGCTATATAATATGACATATAACTTTCACGAGAACATTATCACGGTAACTACAAAAATATTTCGATAACGAGTTTTTCTTCACGGCATTAATGATAAATGCTGAAAATATGATTTTACGACTATGATTTTCGATTGGCGATTATTGCGGCGGCGGTTCAAACTTATCCGAGTTATACATTATATATAATGGATATGAATTCACGTGCAGAAAATAATAAACCGTGTATTCGTTGAAGTTACAAATCGATTTTAATTTACACGTATACGGTTTTTACGAACGGAGCTAAGAACCCATCATAATCGGTTTTGAGGCGATTTTTGTTTTGGCGGTGTGAATGTAATATAAAACACACTCGTTCCGAACGGTACCTATACATTATAGATATCACAATGCAGATTAAAAATATTGGTCACGCGTGTTAATTATTTACACAGCGGTTCTTGGCCACTTTTGTATTGCACTGTACGACACATCTAATCAATATCATTGAAGCCATCATCTATTTAGTAAAACACGTGTTAATGAGCTCCGAGGAAAAAAAAAAATCACAAAAAGATACAATACGTAGAGTTTATCCACGCGTGTTGTAAGAATCCTAAACACAAATTGTGATGTCAACTGATAGATTATGAGCAAAGGTAAGAGTGTATTGGTTTTACTAGGCTGTGTGTATGTGTGTAAACAACTTTTCAATCAGCTCAAATCTCGGTCCAAAACCTTATACGAACTATTTTGTAGTAGGTATT